TTCACTGGATTTTATTTTCACTGAATCATGCCTTCAGCAAAAATAGCAAAAATTAAGTATTAACAGTATTTAAATCTTGTCTCTAATAAAAGAAATATCATTAAAAAAAATAAAAACTGTTACCACTGCATAAATTAGAAACCCTGAACCCCATGATACAGTAATCCAACCAATCATATGGAGATGAAAAAAAAAACACCTGTCTTATACCAAGTGTTCGGTACATTGCATTAAGTGGTATGTTATAAGTACATTAGGACCTATTTCCCATCATAAGTTGCCACATTCCTGCCAGCTTATAGTTGAATAACAGATGTCTGCATCACGCACTTCATGGATTTCATTCTTTTGCTTATCTCTCCCATCATCACTCAAAGTATTTTGGATGAGTATGTCTTAATTTCTGTTACTAGTCTTTCTCGACCTTACATATAGGTAAACAGTACCATACATGTAATTTATCGATATAACATTAACAACATGCAAAAACCCAAAAAACTGATAGGTAATATCAACTGGATTTACTGGTGAATAGCAGTATACGTGTCAGCCCCCATATGTCACAGTGAAATATCATCTGTTGATGAAGTATTTATAATGGAAACTATAGAAGTTAATTTTCCGTTCATATCTCTGTGTGACCAGTTGAAAAAAAGACACGAGTGAATGGCAAATTGGCATGTAGACATTAACTCTGTGTACATATTGCTGATTCTCCATGTGCCAAAGTGCTTAATTTAGCATGGGTCCCATGCAACGCATACAATTCATGTTTCTTTGTTTACATTTGAATGCCCGTAGAATTTTAATTAACCAACCGATCAATGTTTAAATCTGTGCATAGTACTTGATTTGGAAATTCTATTCTTGTTTTTTTTTTCATTAAATGATGCTTTTCAGTATTTTCGATAACATCTTTTAAATTCTACAAAGCATTTAGAAATGAGAACTTTTACATTGTTTTTTGATAATTTGCGTGTTATTTTGGTTAACAACACAATAAATTCACATGCCATTCATGTTATTGCATTGACAAAGAATTCATAAATAAATAATCAGTACTACGTTCTTTTAATAGTAACCATTCAATAATAAAAAATAACAGGAAATTCTATTTTATTAGTTGCTGAAAAATATGTATCAATACTACTCGGTATTAGAGCAAAGTACTTTTTTAGGAGGGAGGGGGGTCACCTTGCAAAATGTGTTGAAATCTGCAAATGGTGTGCATTACAGTAGACAATTACGTGATCACATCTGTATTATGTACACAATCACTTTGTATGTTTTTACTATAATTGTCCTGAATTTACCTGTGGATGCCTAATATTAATGCCATAAGAAATTTAGCAACTATGCTCATTTGTTTTATTTGAAGCAAAAATTGTACTGGATGTATTTAATCTTAGTCTTTTATGAGAATTCGTGTAAGCCAAATTGATTCTAATATTATTAGTGTTTGGTCTATTGAACTCTATTAACTTGGCCAATCCTACTGGGAGCGCCAGTTGTTGGTACACTTACTGCTACCAGGGACCTGGAGAGAACTGTGCACATGGGTTTATTATTCTCTTATCTGAAGCTGAGCCAACAAATTATCATTGTTAAATTAAAAAGCTCACTCCTTTTTTCTTTCTCTATTTGACTTTAATGGTTTCAAGGCTATGTTTACAGTCAATTATTTCTAATGTATTCAAATTCCTTGGCATATCCCTGGCTGAGTGTTGTCATGTCATGTCATGTCATCTCGCTCTCTCTGTGTTTCAGCTTCCTTTTAGA